GTCCTGGTGGCAAAGCTTAGCGTCTGCCCTCTCCCTCTACCCAGTCTCACCCATCGTACGCACTGCTTTCTCTGAAGCACACCACACAGTCCACCCCTTCATGGAAGGGTTGTGAGCGTGTTGGCAAGCAAAGCTCATCTTTGCACTAATGCAGGGCTTTGTACAAGACTGTCAGTCTGTGCTTCAAGGTCAGTGACTTTTCTGATGTCTGAAAAAATGTTAAAGAGAGCAGGATCCACCTTTTCCAGTTTGTCATGGTGGGGAGCATGCCTGTTCTCTTGGGGCAACTCATGCACAACTTTGCCGCTAAACTCTACTGTAAACTTAAAAAGCAAACTTGAAAGACTGTAATGCCAGTCCTATTTCAGTTCACAGCAGTGTGTTTAGGTCTGTCTCTAAATATAAATACTTTCATTAGCCATGCAATCCTCTGTTTAATTGCTTACATGATTTTTTTTTTTCCAAGAGGAGCCTCCAACCAGGATAGGAAGGGCATAGCTGGGCAGGACAGACGTGTGATTCCAGACAGAACATTACATTTGGTCCCTATTTCTGCAGCTCAGAATAACAACTCTCCAAGGAGCATCGGGGATGTTCAAATTCCAGAGCCAGACTAAGCTCTGTGCCTCAAGACATGATGAGATCTCTAGGAAGAGAGTGAAGTAGAACTCTAAAAGACAGAAATGCCTGAGATAAGAATGGAAAAATCTGAGGCTGGGTACATGCCCATAATCTCTCATGTGTAAACAAATGGTTAAATTTGTGTCAGGGAGCAGCATGTTCAGTTTTCTGAAGAAGAAGTGTTTCCCAGAAGGAATTACATAAATATTTATGAAAATGAAGCAGGAAATATTTTCCCAGGGTAGGACACTGTTCAGCACTGCATCAGGTCAGCAGAAGCTGGGGTTTATTTTGTCAGTCTTCCCCTGGAACTGAATCATTGCCCTCTTGTTTGCAAAAATCTGTTCTGACACAGGAAGAGGCTGCACTTAGATAAACACAATTACAAACCACACCGAGCATTTCACTTTCTATCGCATCTCTGAATGCATATGTGAACGCCTTACTTTTTTGGACAGCTTCTCTGAGTGATTGCATGGAAAGCAATAGCAATAGGTGTCTGGCTCAGGCCTCTCAGGAAGGCTGATGCCTTATGAGCAAATTCCAAGGCACCTTCAGTAGAACTGGAAGCCTGCAGACTCTCTGTCAGAGAATTATTCACAATGAAAATGTTAACAATAAAAGTGCTTATAATGCATGGACCGTGAGCCAGTAAATTCTTGTAAAAGTTAGAAATGCAAAGTTGTAATGCAGTGCTACCTGCGTGAGGAAAGTTACACACAACTGAGGTCCCACAAAAAATGGGGTACAGTGTTCACACCTCATAAAGCATCCAGCTCTCTGAATCCACGGCAACCCAAGCTTCTTCTGAGGCTTCGGTGCTGACGGCCGGTCCGCTCCCTCGGTACCAGCCCAAATCCCTCCTGCCTCACAGCAGATATTTCTAGCTGGAATCTGGGTCAGCTGTTCTGTTTCAGGGCTAAAAGCTGATGGGGATACGAGCGTGAAAGGAGAGGTAGGAGTATCCCAAGACGTGGTTGCAAGCTCTAAAGCAGACCTAAGGTTCTCCTAGAGCGCCATCCCTGTGTCAGACCAGGGAATGCTCACACCCATCTCTCAAGGGACCCAACTCAACAGAGTCAAACTCACTGGAAGGAAACCAGGGAGTTTCATAGTTGATAGGGGAACATCTATTTCTACACTGCTGAGGCTGATGAAGCCCTTCAAATTTCCAACAAGAATTATCTAAAATCACTGGAGTCCCCTAAGGTCTGTTTACTGAACAGAGAGATTTTGTCCTTAGTTTGGGGGTTTTTGTCAGTTATTTGCAGGCATATTAAGGTCTAGTCATTGTTTATATCTTACTCAGAGGAACAACAACTGGTGGAGTGTGTGTTTACAGTCTTGAGTCGTCACTGCGTGGTGTCAGAACTAAAAATTATGTTTTATAAAATAGCCCTACGCTTACTTTCCTCCCTGTACTTGGCAAACCATGTTACTGCTTTTCCATTCTCTGTAAGCTTTGCTACCATGACTGATGCATGACAGGTTGAAACATTCCAAATAGCCATGACCTCTGATACCAGGAAAAACTGAAACTATGTAGAATCTCAAAGAAGAGAAATACTGTACTTTTTTTTTTTTTTTAACTTCAGATGCTTCCAGATTTGTACAGAAGAGGAAAGTTCTCCTTAAGACCACATTTGGGTTAGAAAGGATGCCAGAAGACTCTCAGCACTTCTGGTTGAATCAGCCCATGGTTATAAGCAGGATGTATTAGCCTGGAGTCCAACCACAGGATCTGGGACTCTACAAATTATTAAAACTGGCTGCAGAATTGGCTACCTTTTGACGAACACTATTTCAGGATGTTGTCTGTACTCCTTATAGTCTATTGACATTAAACTACTAACATCTGAAGAACAAGCAAGGGAAGGTAATACAAATTACCAAGGAAGTACTTTGACTCCAAGGAGGCAATGCGCTACGCAGAGGTTACCTGACAACTGCTCATCTCAAAGCAACAACATACATCTTTCAGATTTTCTTTTGTGTCTTCTCACAGTTTCCTTGTAATGCCCTAGGAAATGTTTGCTTTATGTCTTTTATGTCTGGACAACACTGCTTTTTGTTCTTCTCTCTTGCCTTCAGACATTTCTCTAAGCTTGATTCAATGGGAATTAACATGCACAATAGGCAATGTGCCTCATTAAATCTTCATCAGCAGTGAAGCTGCTTGAAGATTTTTCAATGAAACTGGTTTGATAAATACTGATTTGCCAAAACCCAAGTTTTTTGTGCTAGTATATCACTTTTGACAGATTGCCTGTTAAGGCGGGTTTCCTAGCTCCAGGACAGGATTTCTGGTCCAACATACAGGAAGACATAAGTGATTAACAAACAGCACTGTAATAAGGCAATATAACCTTAAGGCTCTAGTGCAAACACTGGTTTGAATTAGGCAGAGAACGAATTTGAATCTGGATCTCCTACATTTTAAGTATGTGCCTTCCTTACCAAGTTCTTGGATATATTAAACTTAATTTCTCACTGTGTGTTTAGGGGTTTTGTGACTGTCATGGAGGGAAAAAAATGTAGGGTCCTGATTTTTTTTCTAATGTGGAATGAGAACATTTGCAAATGATCACAGCTATAGTAGTATCAGAAAAATGTTCCCTGCTTAGTCCTGGTCAGTGACTGAAGTGGTTAAATAAATGGTTTCCTCTCTCACTTGCACTTACCCCTCTTTATCTCTCATAAATAACAAAGAAGTCACTGTAAGTCTCTCAGTACTGTGGAACAGATACCATCATTCACATCAGCTTGGCAACATTTCCCAAAATGTCTCCTCCAAAGCTAAGTACACTAGCTTCCCACTCCTACGCTCTCTATTCTTGCTCTTACACTGACCTTCTGCTCACAAAATGGAAAGTGAACTGAAGAAAAAGAAAGATAAATAAACCCGATTTACAGTGTACAAGTCAGAGGCACAGTGCCCAACGCAAATCACACAGGAACAAGTTCACTCCTGGTATGACTCTATCCATCAATAAACCCAGCTTTCTCTTTCCTCCCCCTCTAGCTGTGGTGTATCTGTTATCAAGGCCACATTTGAGGGTGTTAGTTAGATGACATTCTTTAGGAAAGAGAGCACTATTTATTTCTGAAAAGTACTGTATACAGTTTAACAAAAAAGTGTTTTGAAAAGTGGGACAGTCTGTGACCAGGCTACAAAGAAAGAGGGAGAGGAGTGTCTTGACCCCTCTTGGGACTTTGGCCAACATTTCATCCCAGATGAAAGCTTGACATCAAAGCCTTTCTCCAGCCTTTAAGAAAAGGTATTCATTTTTATATCAGTGCTGCAAGCTTTTCTGCCTACCAAGAAACTGAAATTATGTAGGGCTAAGGAACTAAAGCTCTCCTAAATAAGGAGGAAAGCATCTCAAAATCTATTATCACAGGAAATAAATTTTTATGCCTAGAATGGAAAGTAAACATGCGCTCTCACACACGAGGCAGTTCAAAGCATAGTTCAGCTTTTTGAGTTGCTGTCTCGTTCATTGTGCGAGAAACCAGAAGTTAACAAAATTCCTGAGAAGATTACAAATCCCCATCTCCCCTTTCTTTGCTTCCAGGCTGTTTCGAACACTCTGCTGTCCCTGGTTACAGTGTTCTCCCAAAGAGAAAGCTAGAGGTTTTTTCTAGGACAGGATTGCACATGGACAGATATCTGTCACAGCTCCATCTAAGAGGATATATAGTGGGTTTGGAAGCTACCTGCTCCACCATCCAGGAGACCTCCTACACCTGGTTTCAAAGTCCCAACACCCAACTGAAAATCTGACAGCTACCTCATATGGATTTGAACCAGCAGCAGCTTTCTGGAGAACCCAAAGGTGATGTTCTCCTGGGACCTATGCTGTACCACTGTCCTGATGTATGGTCTCTCCCAGTTAGCAAGTAGAGGAGAAAGGTGGTATGGGAGGAGGCACTGCAGTCATTCAAGCTCATCCTACTCTGTGGCTTCAGTCCTGGAGTCTGTCCTTCTGAAATGTGTGTACCAACATAATCTGAGCTTGGAGCAACCATTGTGAAGCAATCTGTAAACATAAACACATCATTTCTGGGCTTCTGACTGAAACATCCATTGGTAACATCAACTTTTCATTTGCTGCTCTGGCGGCTATGGGTACATGGCACCAGAGGCTTCCACCCACAGCAGACTGGCAGCTCCCCCATTGTCACTAACAGTCTCCTTGGAGGAAAGCTTTTGTGGAAAAGTCTCTCTACATGTTATATGGAGTCTGCATTAGTCAGCAGACTGTTAACAGGCCACAAGTATCCTATAACTAATTAGTACTCATTTGGATACAATATTGAAGTCTTTTGTCTCTTGAATAAGTGAAAAACTTGGCATGTAGAGTCAGTGTGAAAAAAAGTTATAAACGAGATATCCCCATATAGTGAAGAAATTTTCCATGGCAAAAGCAGCTAAACATCTTACAGATAAGAGATAAATTGGAATAAACAGCTGTCAGTGTTAAATAAATATCCTGGATAATGTGCAGGACAGAAATAACTACAGCCTCGTCAAACTCCTTTCTTCACTTTATTTAGCTGTTCTTGCCTGTAGCTCCCAATCTTTGCACTGCTTCAGTTAGTGGAGCATTTATTTTTGAATCAGCTGCATTTGTTAAGACTGTAACAACGAAAGGCATTTCCTGAGAAGCTGCAAGGATGAGCAGCAAGAAAGAACCGCAGCTAAGGAAATACGGGACCCTAGTAGTGCTTTTTATCTTGCAAGTTCAGATTTTTGGTTTTGATGTTGACAATCGACCTACAACAGATGTCTGCTCGACACACACAATTTTACCTGGACCAAAAGGTGAGGAATATCAGGTTGCTAATGCTGAGACCAGTACTGATAAAGGCTGATTTTTAAAAGTTGGGACATGAAGGGCTTGTGGCACGGGCTGGGGATGAAATATGTGAATTACTGCGGGCTGTACAAACATCTAGAGAATTGGAACTGTGATGGGGGAAAGTGATGAAGAAAGGGCATTTGAATTTGCTTCCGTTTAGTTTAGTTTCAGGAACAGTGTCACATATTCTTTTAAGTTAGAGATGTCCTTTTGCATCTTTCTTCAGCCACACAAATCTTCTCTTACTTACTGTATTCATCACACAACCAGTACAGCTAGCACAAATTGAGTGACTTTGCCTAAAAGTAAGCACCTATTGTGAACTCTTAATGGTTCACTTTGCATCTATAGGTAGGTAGAGATATGCATCATTTAAAATGACTGAACTGTCATTATTTCCACATGCTTACTTGAAAACGGGCGCTCGGCTGCATTCATCAGACCTGATCCAGCAGCTCCTGTTGAATTAAACAGGACCTTTGTGACAGATCTTAACGAGAACTAGATCAGCTCTGGCATGTGCAGTTCTTTTATCTTCAAAACACTTTGCAAATACCTGAAACTAAATTTTCTGCATTAACTCACTTTTTGTGTAATGCAACTAAAGGTCAGTGGAATTACCCAGAGGATACCTCAGCCAAAAATTAGGCCCATGACATACAAATCTATCTTGCAGTGATGGATGTAAAATATATATTCCACACCATGGCTATTGCAGTTCAAACTATTGCTTTCTTTTAAGTTACTCTTCGTATTTTTCTATAGGCTACAGACTGAGAGAAAAAAATGCAACCGATTTAAATTTTAAGCAGATATCAAGTCAAAAGCACTGCTATAGACTCATTTGTTTTTATGATGGATTATTCAAATGCATGTTGCTTAAAGGACCATTTTTAATCAGCAAATTAATTTCTTTATGATTACAATCCAAGCTTAAACTTTTGCTGCCACAGCATAAATGCAGAGAGATGTAACGATCCCCAGGGGAGCTAGTGGGAGTTTGTTTAGTTAGTATCTGAATAACAGCAGGCTGAAGAACAAAGCTTGACAGAATTGTGTTTAACAAGTCACAAGGCTAATGAGGTGGTCTGGTGACAACATGAGAGTAGCTGGGACTCCAGCTGGTTTCTGTGGTCTAGCTTGTATAGGGAGCATTTAAAGGTTAGATATCATGGTTCTTTGCAAGTGTGATACCGAGAAAGTCAGGATTTAGTCACTACCAGTCCTACTGCCACCTGACTGACACCAAGACAGGAGAGAAGCCAAACAGTATATTGGCACAGTCCTCACTACTACTTTAAAATGAGATTACTGTGCCCAAGATCCATGATTGGCAAAAGGAGTATCAAGTAAATCACCTCCAAATTACTGTCTCACAGCCACTGCAGGTTATCATATACATTTTGCCATCTATGTGAAGTGATTCTATAGACTAATTTCAGTTCCTACCAGAGCTGAGCTCATCCAGGACAGTTGCAAGTGACTCTCAATGCCACTGGTTGTTTTGACTGACAGCTGGGCAACTAAAGGCCGAGCAGGCTGGGTGTGTGAACTACCCTGTTACTCCTCAGGCATGCCTTATAGTCAAGGATGAAGCATGCTGACCTAATATGGCAGAAGAAAGTCTGTCCTGCTGCCAGTTTTCCTCTATCCATCTTATGTCTACCAACTCAGAGCACATGATTCCAGCCTACGACCACAGCCACAGACAACAGTTTGCTGCTTAAAATTTAACCCTGACAATGGACAAGCCTCTGACTTTTGTTGCTGTAAGTTTTATTTTCTGTGCTACATCTGTTGTGCCCCTATTCCCACTGTTCTCCTGAAAATGGGTTTTGACCCACCTTGCACAGGTTTCACCCCCTCACCCCCATCTGCTCAACACTGAGCACAGTGGTGCTCCCACGACAGGGGGTGCTGAGCTCACACAGTAGGTTGGGCAGCTTTTTCTACCACAGGCCAGATTTCTATTGTGGCAACTTCCTCCTTCCATGTGAACATGGGAGAGTCTAATGGGCCAAAGCACCTAGAAGTGCAAGGAATTAAAAGGCATTCAATAGCTGTAAGTCTTCCTACGCTGTTCCACCTTACCTATCCCAGTGCAAGGCACGTGCTGTCCCGTAGGCCAGATCCAGTCTGTGGACTAGAAGAGCAATGATCCCTGGTGCTATGCGGCAGCAATAATGCTGCTGCCATCACACAGCACGAAGAAGAGCAGAAAACTGAGGGAGAAGTGAGGATGTCTGGAGAGGCTCAGAACTTATAACCCTTTATTTCTTGCACTGTTGGAGGTTGGGTTACTCACTTTATCATCTAGGCATTTACAGTTACTACAGGACAAGAACCCGACCTCTCTGTATGCTCACCCTGAAAATCACCTGTTCAAAAAGGGTCATTAGTGTTGTGAAAATTGGCCAATTCTTGCACAAGCCACACGTAACTTGTCCAAGTTAATTTGTGCAAGCCAAATTCTTTCCCTTCAAAAATACGTTCTTCATTATGCTCTTACCTGAGATCTCACAAGAGAATTATGACATGAGTGATGGGATGAAAAGAAAGGGTAATTCCAGGCTGATTATCAGGAAAGTCTTCAAACCAGTTTTAACAGTCCCACCAGCTCCCAAAAAGTATGGGGGAAAACCAGAGGCCTTTGTGTAATAACACAAAGAGCTGGAGTATCCTCTGGAATGATGCAGTCTCCCGGGAACAGAAGGAATGCAGTAAATGTCCTACAAGCCTTTTGCACTGTCTGCGGTCTGAAGTAAACGGCTCGGCATTAGGAACGAAGAGGAGTTTAAGTCTGACCTCTGGTGGCTCTGAGTCGTGTAAGCCAGGCACCTTGCAATCCCCTCCATCCATCTGCTGCTCTTCCATTGCCGGTGAAAGCAAACGACAGGTCAAGTCTGTTTGTAAAGAATTATGCAAAGAAATTTTCTAAATAGGCACTCCAGAAAAAGGGGAAAAAAAAGAATAAGATAAAAGGAAAAGCTGGCACTCCTCTCCCAGTCTTCTTTTCTAGGCAATGTTCAGGTCTTCTCAAAAAGAGGGGACTCTTTCTAATGAACACAGTCCTAGCGCAACAGCTGTCTTGTTCTGCCTTCCTGAAAAAGCTCTTGATGTACACAGCAAGCTGGCTTATATAGGACTTAAAAATAGAAATGTGAGGCATTTTCTAGGACCCCTATCGAAATACCCTAGGAAAACCAAAAAAAGAAATAAATACGTACTTTGAACCAAAACGGATTTTCAGTATTCTTAACTAGTGACTTTTGGTGCTTGACCTGAGATGTTTAGGAACAGTTTGGTCTTATCTGGAGTGCTTGGGCACAGGACCTCTGAAAACCTGCATTAGGTAACGCTGATCCAGCCTGTTTTCTCCTGGAGACCGCAAGCTCAGTTTTGTCTAACCTGCAAAGGGAGTTTTAAGGGGGCTGCTGACATAGATGAGATGGGATCTGACCTGGTCAGAAAAAATCAATAAGCAACAACATGAGGGCAGAAATAAGCAGAGAGCTCAAAACTCTGACTCCTAAACTCCCATTAGAAGCATGAGCAGGGGGAGAAGAAGACTAGGGCGGGGGCTGGCTCTGCGGAAGCTGATTTCACGTGGATTTGTGGGAGCTCAGTGCTTCGGAAGACTGGCTTTAGATCTTGGTATCTATCCCAGATCCCAGCTCATTTCCTTTGAAATCCAGATACGGGAATTCAAAGGTCTTGAATCAGATTTGGATTGAGAAACTGGAATAAGATTAAATCTGAAGAATACTGGGAGTTTCCCATAGCAATTTAAATGTAAAGCGTTTCCTTATTATTTCTGACAAATGATGCTTATAAACTCCATGACATTGGCTGGTGCCTCAAAATAGCATTTACTGTGGTCTCCAGTATAGTTGTCCATCTCTCAGCTTTAATTGTGCTTACGTAATTCCACTCCTGGAAAATCTCAAACTCTCAGAAACCAGATATGCTGCTATCCACATTTCCTTCCAAAAATATAAAATGCCTTACCACATCCTATAGGCTTCTCAAACCTATAACTAAACTTCCCTCTTAGCGCCTCACATTTGATCTGAAGAGCCCTTTAATTTCAACACATAATTCTATTTTTCATGCTTTTTAGACCTTCTCATTTTAGCGTACGTGAAGCTTCTGAAGTTTATGAGCCTGAGCTACAAAGCATGTATGAGGGGATGTAAATATATAAACTGAAAAGATAATGCCTCTCTATTTCTTACCAATGTCAGTCTGATTCGTGGCTGAAGCCACCGTAATCCATGGGTCTCTGAGAATGTGTCAGAATGGCAGGGGAACAGGCTGGGAAAATGAAATCAGGCAGATCAAGTAAAAGAAGAATCAGAAATAATTTAAATTATTTCTGTGTTATTAAAGAGATAATGTATGTCCCAGCCATGCAATAGGAGAAGAGGGTATTTCTACTGAAGTCAATGGCCTTTGTAAGTGGAAAGCAGAGAAGCAAGCAGAGAATCCAGTTTATTCTTGATTCTATTTCACGGGGGAAGGGTCCTTGTTGTCTACTGTGGAGCTGAGTGAGAAAGACAAGATGTTCAAGAACAGTGGAATCTGTGGGAGCCCTGGATGTTCGGCAGGACACCTGGGAGAGTGGCCATGGGTGCAGTTGCACCCTACAGCTGCATTCCTCTGTCAGGTTTTCTGCCACAAAGGGAGGCCTAACGTCCTTTTCCTCTGACCATGTGGTCCTACCTTCACCTTGTGCTGCCTTGTCTGTTCACTCCTCAGACATTTCACTGCACCAAGTCAGCTCATGCGCTAAAAACGTGCAGTTGCGTTACTGATATTCCTCTGGTTAGTGAGTTGAATTCCTTCAACGCAGGGTCAGAATGCTCAGCGTAGGGCAGAGGCGAGGGAGGCATGCAGGCCAGTGCTGGGGCTGAAGGGAGGAGCGAGGACAGGGAAGAGGACAGTGTCAGGTAGGCAGATGTCA